GCAAATACAAAACTATTGCACTCAATTTTAAATCGTTTTAGGATGCACAAATAATAATAATTAGTAGCTATATACACAACAGTTAGAAATGTTAGTAATTTACCAGCGCCTTTGTGAAAATTAAGGTAATTCTCCTATTTTTTAGTTAATAAATTTTGTGAATACGAAAAACGAGACGATACACACCCTAGAAACTTTTGCTTTTGACAGCAATTTTCATTAATTTCTGCCTTTTTATGTATTTGGCGTTTTGTTTTGCTCGTTAAGAGCGAGACAAATCATGAAATTTTATGTCAGTGCTGATTAACGAAAGGAGATTGGTTAAAACGAGATAGCTGTAAGCACTTACAGATGTCAAAGAAGGCAGGGTAGCCAGAAATAGAATAACTTTCTTTGTCAAATTAAAAATTGTTCAAGGAAAGTTTATTCAAAGTTAATCTATGTATTTCAAAAAAATTTTATTTGAGCTCAAAGCGAATTTAATATGAAATTCGCCTGGCTTGAGCTATTGTGAACAGCACATCTACATACATTTTTTCCAAGCCGAATTTGTACAAAGTGGTGTCAGTGTTGCCGCGAACCTTTTTAAGTGAAGCGAAAAATCTAAAGCCCTGTATGCAGCTCTCAAGAAAACGGTCAAGAAAAAATTGCCATTATTTCGCGTGTGTGTCCAAGGAATTTTGACATTTTTGATACCTCACAGCCTGTTGCCTCACTCTTTCCTCAAGAAATAATGGAATGGGCATATATTTCTGTTGCAAACCTGGGTTGCCTTGTGCTCTTTTTTCACAAAAAAACTTTAGAAAACCGTAGTAGAAAGCGTAGTAACCGTACTGCCTTAGTCCCCTTTCAGACACGTCCAGTCTTGAAAGCAATTTTTTTCGCATTCTCTTTTGTGTTTTCTATTTGCTTCCACACGCGTCAACTTTAATTGAATTCAAGTCCTTAGTTCTTTTAATGGGAAGCAACGAAGAGACCAAAAGAGACAAGAAAACTAGAAACGAATTGACGGTACGGAGGTCGCCTACGAACGGGCAGACTTGAAAGCAAGGCTTGACGTGTCTGAAAGGGGACTCAAGGAAATTTGACTCAAGAAAATTTCTTAGCCATTTCTTGTACGTCATTTTATATGGAATTTTTTGATTTTCTTGAGAGCTTCATACAGGCCTTTATGCAGAAATTTTGTTTGGCGAACTGCGTGCAATTGTTTTTGCAGCAAACTCGAATAGAGCGAGTTTGGCGACTCTCACAGCAAACTAATTTTGTTTGGTCAAACTGCAGCAAATTCGGTGTTGTCATATACAAAACTTTTAGATAATTTTTGCTATACACGAAAATTGCCGTGATACCGAAAGTCAGAGAACTGAATTTATGCTGTAGGAGCTTCAAAGATTAGGGCACAGTTAATTGCCTATACGATATCGTAAAAAATATTTTAATTGTGCGCGTTATGTACATCTGAAATTCCCATTTCGTGCTGGCAACAGCCATGAAAACCATAACCCAGCAAAAATCGTTGGAGCATGTAGTCTATTTGTGGTAAATTGGAGTACTTACAAAAGTGTCCCTCAGTCATGCTGTAGCGGACCAACTCGTGTCTCTGCGCCAGCTTATTGTTTGTTATCCGATCACTGCTCGTGTTTTAACGAAACGTGATTGAAGTGGAGCATTTGAAAGCACATTTGCATGTCTGGCTGTAGCTGAACGTGTAGAGATGCTCGCTGTTAGTTCTTAGCTCCCAGCATGTTCGGGTTGGAATGCCGTCAGAGGCAACATGTAATTTTAAATTTTTGTCTTGGTTTTTATTAATTTTGAAAAAGCATTTGAGAAGTGAAGAACAAAAGCGTGTACAAACGAAAAAATATAACAACAATGCCATTCTAAATATGTT